CGGGTTCACACCATTCTCCTCCCTCAGCCTCCCAAGTAGCAGGGACTACAGGTGCCCGCCACTATGCTTGGCTAATTTTTTGTATTTTTAATAGAGATGGGGTTATACCGTATTAGCCAGAATGGTCTCTCAATCTCCTGATCTTGTGATCCACCCGCCTTGACCTCCCAAAGCGCTGGGATTACAGGCATGAGTCACTGCACCTGGCCTCCAATAACATTTTTTAAAAACTCTAATCACAGTGCTTGTCTTAAGTCAGGTACTAAAAATGATGATTTATGAGGGTATGGATCCCAGTGTTTTTGCTGGGACCTTAATTCCTACACTCTTCCTCCTCCACAGTTATCCTGGAAACCTGAAGGGAAAGGTTCAAGTCCAGGTCTCCATTATAGCCCCGCTAATAGACTTGTTCTGCCATCAACCACCATGGACCTGTACTGCAAGATGCCTACTACACACCCAGTGCTGAGCTGTGGAAAATCCAGAGCACATGTGACCACAGACAATCGTGAAGGGGCTGATAGTAGTGGCTTCTCAAGGGAAAATTGTGTCCGGGACCTAGCTGACTGCATAACAGATTTCTCTTTACTCTCAGATTCAGGCTTCTTCCTTGGGGCAGCTCCCCATGAGTGTAAGTATGAACGGGGGGAAGACAGAGCATATACTTCTTCCTTCCTGATACTATTGACAAAAGTATGCTGTTTACATATTGAAAATCAAGGGATGGTGTGAACTCACAGGGAGAGGACAGGAGGGAGTCTCCTTGATCAAATGTCTAAGATAAAGATGAAGGTTGCAGTAACAAAGAGCCAGCTGATAACCTTGTTCCTCCTGTAAGGTGCCTGCACCCCTGCCAGGCATATGATCTGGGTGGTTACACTGTTATGCCAAGAGAGGTGCTCACCCAAGGGTATGTGTCAGTATCCTTGATGGTGCTTTCCCAAACTACAGCCACACAGTTCTCTCCCACCTCCCTCCCTAAAAGGTGAATTCAAGCTGGGGGAAGGTGGACATATCTTGCGAAGTATTGCATATGGAAATTCGAAAGATATGTTACATTCAGGGAGGGGCTTCCATTAGGCCCCATTTTTATATAAAAATCTCAAAATAAATAATATTCCTCTATTTGCTTCAAAAAAACGAATGCTTAAGTTCTCTTTACATTGATGTCAAAGCATAGCCATGAGTTATGCTGTGCAGGAGGCCGGCGTTTGGCAAGACAGATTTTTTCTGACAAAACAAATAAAATCCTGAGAGGTATTTGTTTTAGTAAACCAAAGGGAAATTCCATGAGACTCTGGCTTGTGCCTCTAAATGTCTTCCTCAGTGAAAACAGCCGGTGGCCACGCCTGTGTCCTGGGTGGACTGAATTCATTCCAGTGAGCTGATGAGCCAAGCGGGAGATTCCCCTTGGGAAGGGTCATGGTTGTTTATTTGAAGCTGCTTTCAGCCAGTGCTTGGCTGAGGAGTGTGGATGAAATGCCTCTGCTGTCCTGCTGCTGAAACGGGAACACTATTGGCCTTCATTACTGTTGTGCCCACCGTTTTGGCTTATGATACAAGAGCCCACTGTCCTACATCTCTAATGATACACAGAGCATCTCTGGTCTCTAGAAGGTGGGAGGGGCACTATGTCCAGTTTTAACCATATGCATGACAAGGAGATCCAGCGACCATCTGGTGGGGAAGCAGGCGTTCCATCTCCGGAGCTTCCCAAGGAAGCAGGAGACAACGGAGTGTAGGAAACGCTCAGAACCAGGAGACCTGCAACCACTTAGTTCCAGTGGCTTGGGGTAGCTATGATTCAGTTTACTCCTTTGTAAAATGGGGATAATGCAGAGTGCTCACATGTGGAGCTAAGGAATCAATGTGTGAAAGCCCGTTGCATATAAAATTTATATAAAGAAAAGGTATTGTTCCTGTGTTATTACTATAGATACCTGACTATCACTCCATTATTAACATTACTATTCAAGCTTTCTGTGATGACCCCCTTCCCATGCCTCTCTGTTCACCGGATTTACGTGAGAATTTTAGTTACTGTGCAGAACTGCAGTCACCTGATGCCAATAGGAAGAATCAGGAAAGGTCTGTTTCTGGGGAGTGAGGTCTTTTTAGTGCAAGGGGAAATGAGACAGGGTCAGAGAAAGAGCTTTCAGCTTCTGATAAAGGAAGAATGAGACAGCCCCAAGATGCAGTGAGTGGATGGAAATGTTCTAATAGGTGAGTTGATATCTTAGAAGAGAAGCAAGCTGATGCCATCTGGCTGTGTGTGGGAAGGAAGGGGAGAGGGCACTGGTGAGGACCCACAGTGGGGTTGGGCTGGTGGCAGCAGGTGGTCTGGGAATTGGAGCAGGTGAGGAAGTGATACGCCAACAGCTCTGTTCTCTGGGCCTGGAGCCTTGCTGTCCAAAACACAGTGAAGTACAGCTCATAACTCATAGGGGATACCTTGAAGATATAGTCACCCTTATTTCAAAATGTAGAAATAAGTTAATAATAGAGCAATAACTATGTCCACATCTCATTTAGTCACCTGCCACTGCCACTGTGCCCCTTACCCCATTTTCTAGCCACATAACCACTATTCTATTTCTTGAACATACCAAGTTCCTTCCTGCTCAGAGCCTCCATACACATCGTTCCCCCTGTAGTAGTGCCCTTCCTCTTACTGCTCCCAGACCTCTCATCTTTCAAGTCTTGGTTTCGTGTCATCTCCTAAAAATGGTTTTCCCTGACAGCTCCCTAACCAAGCATCTACCTGTCCCCAGCACTCCCTCCCCTCCATCCCCTTAATGACAATTCCTGAAATACATACCCCTGTGGTGGTGGTGTTGTTGTTGTTGTTATTTACTTGTTTATGGCACTCCCCATGTTTCACCATTAGATGGTGGAGTCCGCTGTATCTGCAGAGACCACTGTCTCTGTAGCACTGATATGGTCTGGCGGGGCCCCACCCAAAACTTGTCTTGAATTGTAGCTTCCATAATTCCCACATGTCATGGGAGGGACCTGATGGAAGGTAATAGAATCATGCGGGCAGGTCTTTCCTATGCTCTTCTTGTGATAGTGAATAAGTCTCATGAGATCTGATGGTTTTATAAAGGGGAGTTCCCCTGCACATGCTCTCTTGCCTGCCACCACATAAGATGTGACTTTGTGCCTCCTTCACTTTCCACCATGATTGTGTGGCCTCCCCAGTCATGTGGAACCGTGAGTCAAACCTCTTTCCTTTATAAATTACCCAGTATTGGGTACGTCTTTATTAGCAGCACGAGAACAAACTAATACAAGCACCTAGCACAGTACCTTGCACATAGTGGAAGCTCAATAAAGACTGTGTTGGCCACACAAGGAATCCTCAGAGCCATCCTTTAGGGCAGGTCTTATTATTTCCACTTTACAGACAGGAAACTAAACAGTTGTTCAAGGTCTCATACCTAGTCAAGGGCAAGTCCAGAATCCTACCCCAGGAGTGGCAGAGACAGAGCCCAAGCTCTCTGTTCTTGCCTCTGACTCATTGACTCATGGTTGAGTCTGGGATGCTGTGGGAATTTCCACTTTCTGGAACTCCCCAAGACTTGATACTTTGAGTTTGCAGAAAATATATCAGAAAGACCCCAAATGCAAGGTGATGTCATGCCTGCAGCCTGAGCCCAGAAACTGCAGCTCTGATTTTGTGACCAGTCTGAGTGACAGGCTATTTGAAGGACTTTTGCTCCCTTGCTCCATCCAGGAGGATCCCTTTCCACTCCTTGCTGGAAGGGCCCCTTGTCTGAATTCCAAATCCATTTCCATTCTTAATCTTTCAACTCAGCACCCAGTGATGAACTGTCTCCCATTATCTCTTTTTTTTTTTTTTTTTTTTACCAGCCTTACCCGTGTCCCCTCCTGCCTTGCTAACCAGATTATAAAGCTCTGGAGGGTGGGCATGGAGTCTTCTCTTTGTTTTGTTCTCCTTGGTGCTGAGCATACGCATGACAGCAGCAGTAAAACAAGCTGACAGCATGTTGACAAAGAAAGGTTCTGTTGATAAATCAATGAAGTTTAATCTCTGATAAAGCCATAAAGATACTCCTTGTAACCCCTGTGCATCTGGCAGTTGGCAGGAACAAGGGAGTTTATGTAGGTGGCCTATGCTGATCCCTTGTGGACTGCAAGTCTACCATGTGCTGCTTTGCACACTCTTGTTTTAATCTGCTCATGCAGGGATGAATGCCACTGGACCCCCAGTGGGGATGGAGTACGCCCCTGGCCTTGCCTTTCCCATGCCTAACTTTCCAGTTTTGAAGTGCATCTGTGTGCTGCACTATATCTAGCAGAACCAGAGCCCTACTGGCCAGTCCCTCGGTTTCTTGCAGAACCTACCCCACCCAGCTCCTTCCCCAGCACTTTGCACATTCTCAACTGGGCCTACTCAAACCAGTAACAACAGATGTGACAGGCTCAGCAACTCCACTGCAGACAGGAGCAGCACCAAACCCTTGGGTCGTGGGAAGACCACTGAGCTCTGTGACTCAAGGTGACAGACAGAAAGGTTGGCTCCACACTGTGACTTCCTGTGTCCAGATGTGACCATTTTGGTGGTTGAAATAGCAGTGGCAATTTTCTCGCGGTCACTTTTCCGTTTCAATAAAGCAAGCAATCTAGGTTATAAGAATACACATGGTCCTTGTAAAGTTATTTCCCCCCACTGGACTCAGTACTAATTCTTTTCAGAATGAAAAAAAAAAATGCAGCCTATCAGCATTTGTATTTTTCCTAAATTGGTCTCTGTGTAAAATCTATTTCTATAATTGTCAATAGACCATTTGTATTTTTCTCTCCTCTCTTACCCCTCCTGGCCCCTGACACACACTCACTTTCTCTTTCAATTTCGCTCCCCATCCTTTTGAAATTTTTACCCTGGCCAGTGGCCACCTGATTCAACTACAGAGGGTTAAATGTGTGCCCCAGACTTGCACATGTGGAGGGTAGGCCAGCACTGCTTGGGGACTCACCCAGAGGGCAGCAGGGGTGCGGTGGCCTCCAGGAGATGCTGAGGTCCCTTCATCTGCCACTTTTGTGCTACCACTCTGGGGATGTGGCCATCCTGGCTCTTCTTCCACTTGCTGCTCACTTTTGCTCTTCTGTTTTCGTATAATCTGGGGAGGGGAGGACAAAAAAGGGACAAGTTATTAGAGAGGCCTCCTGATGCTATCTGGGGTAACTGGGACCATCTTTGGAATATTTTTCAGCCACTTACAAGCCTAATGTCAACAGAACACTAGGCTGTTTCAGATCTGCTCTATGAGAAACCAGTACAACTATAGCCTCGAGCATACTAAGCATTCTACAGTTTGCAAATAATCCTTTTATGATGTTAACAGCTTCTTCTATTTATTAAGTGCCTAGCATGTGTCAGACCTCACGTTAGGTATTGTGTAAGCTCTACGTCACTTAATTCTAGAAGGTACATACTGTAATTCTTTCCATTTTATAGATGAGGAAACAGGCTCAGAGACACTAAGTTATTGGATAAGGCTACATAGCTCATAAACGTTGGAGCTGGATTTCAAACCCAGAGCCTCTGGTTGTAAGTCCTGACTTTAGGAAGCATCTGGAAGCCCTATCAAGGAGGTAGACACCAAGAGTCACCAGAATGGCTCCAGATCCAGCTCATTTGCACAGTCATTTGGACCTAGTAAGTCCATCTGTATCAAGGTCTCTGGGCTTTCAACTTCCTATAGGCAGGAAGCAGTCAAGAAATGTGCTAAGCCACCAAGATGGGCATATTCTTCAATGTTCCTTTAGGCCAGACAGGAGGATAAAAAGGAAGGCTGAGAGCCCAGAGAACAATGAACTAAGGTGCCATCTCCCCTGGCAGGGTGGGGACCCAGCCATGTTGCCCAGAAGGATCTCAGAATTGCTGAGGACCAGTGACCCCCAGTGCCTCCCATTCTTCCCCTCTGCAGGTGGGTGGGGCCAGTGCTGTCTCCTTGTCCCTCTGCAAACATTGCATGTTGGGTATATGGGGGGAGATCATTTGTTTGCTTAGTTTACAGATCTCCAGCTAAAAAGGAGCTAAAAGTGGATCAAATGTACTTTGAATTGTGATTGGATAAGACATTTGGGGGTCTTTGGGTGTAGTGAGTCTACTTGGCATATGGAAGGGATGTGAATTATTGTGACAAAAGGGAAGACTGAAGTTTTTCAACACTTCCTGCATACAGCACTTTGTAGTGTGACTCTGCAGACCCTCCTAGTATAGGTAGATTCTACGTTCCAGCCCTTGGCTTTGGGCTTGATGTGTGACTTGCTCTGGCCAATGAGATGAGAGGAGGGAGTCAGTAACTGTAAGCCAGAGCTAAGCCTCAGCCTTAATAAGCACTGTGTGCTTCCTCTTGCTGGCTTGTGCTCCTGTCATGGCCACAGGCAGCTGATGTGCCCTCAGTTGGGACCCAGAGTGAACACGCTGCAGCCGACTTTGTCCCAACCCACAGCTTGAAGTGCAGCCACTGCAGATAAGTGAGCAAGAAGTAAATTGTGGCATAACAAAACATATATACAGATAGTCCTTGACTTAAGGTTTTTGGACTTTATGATGGTGGGAAAGCGCTGTGTATTCAGGGCAGCATTCCATAAATTATATGAGCTATTAAACACTATTATAAAATAGGCTTTGAGTTAGATGATTCTGACCAGTTATAGGCTAATGCAAGTTCTGAGTACGTCTACGATAGGCTAGGCTAAGCTAGGATATATTAAGAGTATGTTAGGTGTATTGAATGCATTTTGACTTCTGATACTTTCAACTTAGGATGGGGTTACTATCTGGACTTAACTCCATCCACTGTAAGTGCAGGGGTGTCTGTATTTGGTCTATGTCCCCATTTCCTGGCACAGTTTCAAAAAACATTTGGAATTATTTGAGTGTTAGGAGTGTCTTTGTTACACTAACAAGGTGATTCAAGGTGAGGTCCCTAGATAACTTCAGGATGGCGGCAGGTTGCCAGAAAAGCCAACTACAGTGCATGATTAGAGGGCTGGGAGCAGAAAGACTAGAGAGTGCGTTCAATCAGGTAATCAATCATTTAATCAATCATGCCTACATACTGAAACCTGGCTAAAAACTCTGATGCAACAAGGCACAGAAACCTTCCTAGTTGGTGCATACATCGATGTGTTGGTGGAGTGATGTTCACAGAGGGGGCATAGGAGCTCTGTACATCCTGTCCCCAGACCCCGCTGCTCTGTGTATCTCTTTATCTGGCTGTTCACCTGTACCCTTTATTTTAAACTGGTAATGGTAAGTAAAGCAGTTTCCTGAGTTCTGTGAGTTCTAGCAAATCATTGAATTGAGGGTCCGGGGTCGTGGAAACTCCCAAATTTGTAGCAGGCTAAGGAGAAGTGTGGTGGCTTGGGGATACCTGAAACTTGTGGCTGGTGTCTGAAGTAGTGGCAGTCTTGTGGGACTGGGCCCTTCACTTGTGGGGTCTGCACTAACTGCAGGAAGAAGTTAGTATCTGAATGGAATTTCACTTCTCAGTTGGTGTTGGAGAATTGGTTACGGAAGACAGAAAGATCCTTGTCAGAAGCCACAGAGTTTTGGGGTGGTTGGTTTCTCCGAAGTAATTGACAGGTACACTGTGCAAGGGACGGCATAGGGCACGGAGCTAGCAGGAGTGACTGCAGAGCAGTGCAATACATTCCCTCTGCATGGGCCCCCAGGGCACAAAAGGCTAAAGTGAGAAGGCACAGAAGATACAGTACCAGAGACACTCCCCATGTTTCATCTGCTGCTTGCCAGAGTCCCTACTCCGGGCCCAGCCAGGAAACTGCAGCCATCCCACTGCCAGGGCCCACCTACCTTCTGCAAGATTGTCGTGGCCAGTTCCTCAGTTAGCTCCTCCTTGTGGTCCCGCAGGTAACTGGCTTCGTTTTGCTTGTCCTGCGGAGGGAAGAGAATGGCTGTGTGCTGTGGGTGGACTTGGGTTGACTCAGCAATCACTTTGCAAGGAGAATCCTGACCACAAAAGCAGAGGGAGGGCCCTGCTCTGGTCAGAGCTGCTGAGACACTGATTTCCTGACAACCTGCACTTTCTCCTGGCAGCCAGGACCCCAACCCACACCTCCCCCCGCAGAGAGGAGCAGGAGGGGTCCTACCAGGCTGTCCCCATATGCTTCTGCTTTGGAAATTGCTTCCTCAATGGCCTCTTCAGCCACCCGTAGGGCCACAGCCAAGGTGTCCATCACACTATGTCCTAGACAGGAAACAGAACAAAGAGCATTTCTAAAAGGGAATGATGAGTAAAATGATTGTTCAAGCTCTTCTGCTTAAATTCTTCAAGGGCTCTGGGATAAGTTCTAAGCTGCTTACCACAGCGCACAAAGCCCTTGCCCTTTCCACCTGCCTCACAACTGCCTCCCATGCATCATTCACATCCCGAGCCCCATATGCAACAAATTATTTGATTATTTCATGCCTGCTGTCTCATTCCTCCTCCCTCCTAGTCTCGTGCTCCATAACTGAGCTGGTTCCCGTGGACCCCAAGGCTTGGCCCAAAAATTCCTCCTCTAACAAATCTTCTGAAATCCCTTCAGCCCCACCCTTTGCTTGAGGTCTGTCCCAGGTTCTGGGCTTGCTTTCATCATCCAGAAAGGCTCCATGCCCCTGGCCCCTTCCCACAGGTCACTTTCAGAGAGCGAGAATTGATCACATTCATTGTTGTATGAATATGATCATACAAAAATGAAGCACTGGTCCAAGCACACAGAGTGGCTTAAAGATGACTGAACAAAAGGGCTTAATATAAGGCAATAATGGTTCTTCATCCACTTTCTCAGATAAAGATTATGCTTTATTTTGTCCATATAATGTATTATTGTGATGATGGGGAAAATGTTATTAAATATACTAAGGACATTGGGCTGTGCATATGACTTAGTGCAAATATAAACTCTATGGTATAATTTTTTAGACTATCAACCAGTATTAACAACACTGGCCAACCTCACAGAGCTCAGCCACATGGCAGGCCCCAGGCCCAGAGTTTCACATACATGATCACAGTTAATTCTGTCAAAAATCCAATGGTAAGTAGGTGCCATATAGGTACAATTTTACAGATGGTAAATTTCAAGCACAGAGTGGTTAAATAACTCACCCAAGGTACACAGCAAGACAAGAAGGCTAAGATTTGAATCCAGTTGGATTCCAATTCCTTTGAATTTGAATTTGGATTCCATTCCAAATTCCTTCCAATTCAAAGCCCTTGATTTTAATCACAAAACTGACACGAATACAAGCTAACATGATTTAAAAATATCATGCTACCATATTTTTAGTGGACATTTTTTTTTAAGATATGGCAACAAATGAGAGAAAGTAAAGGACTTCCCCAAATGAAGAGTTCTTTTTGGAGCTAAGTGCTGGGAAAAGTTCTGTTTCCCTTGAGATCCTAGATTTTAGCTTCTTACTTGTAAGAATTTGTATCATCCTTCTCTTAGTTTTCCCTAGAAGTCCAAGCCACATCACATGCAGGAATGTAGGTCAGCAAGAGCTGGGTACCTGGGTCTCCTTTTCCCCAATTTCAACCTCCGGTTTCCATTTATAATCTCCTACTCATATATTATTTAACACATGCAAATCTCCTGTAAGCTGTTGAAAATTCTTTGTGGAATGAGACAGGGTGTGAATACATCAATTCATTAATTACTCAATTAAAAAATAATTCAAGCTTCTTAGACTCTTAGGGACACAAATGTAGACAGAAAGCATCATTTGGCAAACATAATAAAGTCTCTAAACAATCCACTTAAGGTCAAAGTGATCTAGCTAGCTGATGAGTATGTCACAAGCCAGCTATGACAGTCATGATAGAGCCACATAGGGGCAGCTCGGCCCAGGGCTCTGCACACCACCAGGTGGCACAGTCTTTCCAATGTTTTGATAGCTAGAGCCTACACGATATAAATTGTCATCACACACACTAAGAGCTCCCTGGTGGTAGACACTGTATCTCCCCTCTCTCTTCTTCAAGATAGTCACCAATGTATTTTTCACAGAAAATAGTACAAATTTTTGTGGAATCAAACAAATGTTTACTGAGTACCGTTTGTGTGCTAGGCTCTGTGATGGCCCCAGTGACAACCTGACGGACAAGCTGAGTCCATGCCTTCATGTACCTTCCAAGATATTGGGTGATTAGACATATAAGTAACCACTAAGAGACATGCATAACTATCCATGTAGACTCCTGGAAGGTAGGCACCTGGAGCTGTAACTAGGAAGGCTTTGGATGCTATGATTATAATTCTTAGATGAAAGTGATGTGGAACACTGGGTAAAAAGTGAAGGTTCAGGTCAGTGTTTCAGAGAGAAAGGTTGGCAAGGGTTGGGGGTAAGATTAAGAAGGTAAAGTGGCCAAAGTTCAGAAGACCAGCTAGATGGTGGGAGGGTCAATGTGTCAATGTGGCTAGGCTATAGTACCCAGTTATTTAATCAAACACTAGTCCAGGTATTACCGTGAAGGTATTCTTTAGATGTGGTTAACATCTACAATGAGTTGACTTCACGTAAGAGTTGCCCTCCACAATGTGGGTGTGTCTTATTCAATCCTTTGAAAGGCCTTAAGAGCAAAAACTGAAGTTTCCTAGAGGAGAAATTCAGCTTGAAGACTGAAGCAGCAACTCCTGTCTGAGTTTTCAACCTGCTGGCCTACCCTGTGTGTTTGGGGCTTGCCAGTCCCCTGCAACTGCATGAGCCAATTCCTTAAAAGGAATTTGTGTGTGTGTGTGTGTGTGTGCATGTACATACATATATGTTTAGTGTATTGGAGAACCCTGCTGATACAGATGGCCACTGAAATTAACACTAATACCGGAGAGTTTCAGGCAGAGAGGTATGAAGGATAGGGGTTTAGAATGGAGAGAAAAGGGTAAGATTGAAAACAGAGCTGACAAGTACTTTTGTAGCTTCGGGGAAATGAGGAGAGGGACTGAAGGAAACATACCTCTCACTGGTGGACCTAAGTGGCTAAAGAGCTTGACTAGGACAAGTTGGGGTTAAGAACCCTATAGGATCTTCAGGTGCTAATGGCCAAGCATTAGAAATCTGAGCCTAGAACTCTGGGATGAAATCAAGGTTGGGCATTTCCGGCTCAGCAGCAAATGGAGGTGCACTTGAGGTTGTACAATGGTGTGTGGTAACCTATGGAGAAGTTGCAGGTAATAAGGATAACAGTGGACAGAATTTTCATGAGAAGGCACCTGTATTAGGGTTCTTCAGAGAAACAGAACCAATAGGATATATATAGATATAAAATAGGAGATCTATGATGGGAATTGGCTCATGTGATTAAGGAGGCTGAGAAGTTCCATGATATGCTGTGTGCAAGCTGGAGACCCATAAGAGCAGTGGTATAATTCAGTCCAAATGTGAAGGGCTGTGGAATGGGGGAGCTGCTGGTTTAAGTCCTGAGTTAGAAGGCCCAAGAATCAGAAGCTCTGATGTCTGAGGGCAGGTGAAGATAGATGTCCCAGCTTCAGAAGAGGGACAGTGAATTCACCTTTCCTCTGCGTTTCAGTTCTATCTGGGCTTTCAATGGATTGGATGACACCTACTCATACTGATGAGGTCAGATCTCCTTTTCTCAGTCTATGATTCAAATGCTATTCTCTTCCAGAAATACCTTCACAGACAAACCTAGAAATAAAATTTTACCAACTATCTGGGCATCCCTTAGCCCAGTCAAGTTGACACACAAAATTAACCATCACAGCCCCCAAAGAGAGAATAGAGGGTACAGATGAGCTGTGGGGGTCACAGGAGGAAGGCAATTCAGGGGGCACTGATTATCAATGTCCAGTACTTCAGACAAAGAATTGAAGTGATAAAGTTTTATTTGAAATTAGAAGTTTGTTTTGCTTTTAACCACTGCTCTGAGGGGGCAATTATATTGGTATAAAAAAGTAGAATTTAATCAGTAAATGATACCTTCTTTAAGGGAATATTTTAATATGAGATGCACAAGTGAGTGGGTTGATTGATATGTTCCAACTCCAGAACAATATTTACTAGTTGACTGTAAAGTATCCATGGTTGGGCAATGAATGCTGTTCCCTTGGCCACACTTTGGATGGCCATATGATGGATTCATGCAATTGGCAATAATAAGTGACCCAGGGAGACTCACACGTAGTAGTAGATAGTTGCATCTGGGGTAACAATGCACCTGGCGGACCCTGGCAGTACCTGTACTGTAGGTGTTTCTATTCTTCCAACTTCCCAGTAGCTGTATACTCTTAAGCAAATTTACCTTCTGACTGCCTATAAAATGTTGAATCACTGCCAGAAATGCTTCCTTCATTCTCCAGGTTTGACTCAAAAAGGCTTCCTCCTGGCAGGGTAGGAGTGGGAGAAGAGAATGAATATGATTATCAAAGGTCTTCAGTGAACACTGATGCACTGTGTCACTGAACTGGCAGACTGCTATTACACACCTGGGTTGTTAGCCTTGCAAATAGGTTTAGGGACTCATGAGTTCCCACAATAATGCTAACATTTTTGACCCATTGCTTTTTTCTTCTCACACTGATTCCTGGTGCAGCATTGCTGCCAACCCCAACTTTCTTCCCATACCTTCTCTGCAGGCAATATGGAGTCAAAGACAGAACAATAGACTAAAGTCTGAGAAATGTGAGGTCAATTCCTGGACCTGCAAATTACTGGTTGTGTGGCTTGGCATGGCTGCATCTAGAATTTATTCATTCATCCAGCAAATAGTCTATGAGCATCAGTAGGTGCCTGGCTTCAGCCTAGGTATTAGGGGCACACTGAGGAGCAAAGTTAAACCTGCCCCCACCCCACCCTGACAAGCATGAGAGTCTCATGTGGGAAATTCATTAATCAAATACTTGTAAAAATACATATGAAATTATAGATAGGTTAAGTGCTTTGATGGGATGGTTCACAGCCCAGTGAAAGTGTTCAGCAGGGAAGATGGACCTAAGCAGTGAAGAATCAGCCAAAGGGTGTAGGGAGTGGGAGAACATACAAGGTACAGCAAACAGCTTGCACAGAGACCCGTCCTGGGAGGAAAGGGTGTATCTGAAGGCCTAAATAAGAGTCAGCATGGCAGGGCTGCAGAGAGAAAAAGCAGCTCTGGTGAGGTGACCCGGGGACACAGGCCATGCAGGTCATGGTGGCCACATCAGTGTTTGGATCTTCATCCCAACCACCATGTGAAGCCCTTAAAGGTTTCACAGAGACGACCTGGTAAGATCTGTGCCTCTAAAAGTGCACTGTGGCTGCTGTGTGGAGAATAGCTTGGAAGGGGGAGAAGGTGAGTGTAGACTGAGGAAGGGCAGACAATGGAAGCCCTGAATGCAGCTCACTTTTTAAAGCTGACCTGTGATGGGAAAGAGGATGGCAGGACAATGAGTGGAGGAAAATGCAGCCAAGGAGGGGTTTAGAAAACAGGAGACACTTGGGTGTGTTTATAAATCCCCGTAAAGACAGAGATTGAATAAGCAAGAAGTGACCTTTAGACTTTCCTGGAAGGTGAGAGGGATATCAAGATGCAAGACCAAGGGGGACCGGGAGGCAACAGAGAAGGCAGACAGCACTCCCACTGCAGCTGCATGCAGGGGCAAGTCCCTGCCTGGCGTGCCCTGTAGGCCATAGGAAGGAAGATTTGAGGTTGCCTGCTGAGAGGATGGGGAGGGCCATGGGAAACATAAGGGGAAGGGAGATGTGAAAAAGTCTTTGGAAGACTGACCTCACCAGAGGACAAGCCCTAGTTTTGCATGACTTTAAATCTTCTAGTAAAACACCTCTCTTTCTGTTTCCCTTTTAAATGTGGAGGTGGGAGCGTTGGTGTCATTAGGATGATGTGATTTTCTTTCAAGGGCAGAAAGGGGCTGAATTGCTCTGGAAAGCATGGGCTAAGCAGCCAGAAGACATGAAGCCACTATTTTTCATGAGTTGGCAGAAACTCTAATTTCATGTGGCTCAGCATTTTTAGAAAACCACATTTGTCCATCAAATCCCGGATGAAGCAACAGACCTCTTTAAGAATCATGTCAAAGTTAGATATAGAATGATAATAACAGCAAGGTTTGTTTTTCCCATTTATTTATCTAACACTAAATAAAAGCATATATTATTTATCCAATTGTCTGAAGATTAAGTATATTAACAATAGCAACTTTTACCTTTTTCATGTAGTGCTTCTTTTAGGATAACTGTTAAAAATGTCATATTGTGTTCTCTGTTCTCACTTATAAATGGGAGCTGAACAGTGACAACGCATGGACACAACAGGGGGAACAATGCATACTGGGGCCTGTCAAGGTGGCAGAGGGAGGGAGAGCATCAGGATAAACAGCTAATACATGTGGGGCTTATACCTAGGTGGTCGGTTGATAGGTGCAGAAAACCACCATGGCACATGTTTACTTATGTAACAAACCCGCACGTCCCGCAGATGTATCCCGGAACTTAAAATAAAATTAAATTACAAAAAAAGTCATACTGGGTCTATCAGAGAGGCCATGTGAGCACTCGTAACCTTTGGACATTATTTCATTTATAAATGTATTTACTTATCTGACTTCTCCACTAGAGTTTGGCTCTGAAATGGCAGGGTCTTGCTCATTTCTTTACTTCTAACATCTTAAGCCGGATGGGCACATAGTAGGTGTTCAGTAAATATTTGCTGAATAAATGAATACATCTTAGATTTGTCTGATAAAACAAATAAGAATTCTTTTAGGGCTAATCTGGTCATCTGCTGTGAGCTGCAGGAGAAGGAGTAAGGTTAGCTTGGGAGCACTGCTGAGGAACTGATGGCACTACAAGGTGTGTATGTGATGGGTGATATGTGAGATTGTGTGGATTGAAGCAATCTTCAATGAATTTATTTATTTATTTATTTATTTATTTATTTATTTATTTGATGGAGTCTCGCTCTGTTGCCAGGCTGGAGTGCAGTGGCGCAATCTCGGCTCACTACAACCTCTGCCTCCTAGGTTCAAGCGATTCCCCTGCCTCAGCCTCCCAAGTGGCTGGGAGTACAGGCGAGTGCCACCACGCTGGGCTAATTTTTTTGTACTTTAGTAGAGATGGGGTTTCACCATGTTGGCCAGGATAGTCTCGATCTCCTGACCTCGTGATCTGCCCGCCTCAGCCTCCCAAAGTGCTGGATTACAGGTGTGAGCCACTGTGCCTGACCTGAATTGAGTGGTTTTATGGCAAACTACTGTGGTCCGCATAATGAAGACGTTCTGTAGGTGAAAGGAGTTTTATACTAAGAGTCCTGGAGCATAGCACATGCCTTGTGCAATGCAGATTTTGCATATCATGTTCTGACAATTAAAATTCTGAAAATAAGTACCATTAGATAGAGTTGGAAGAACACTGCTGAACTAATTACTCTGAGTTCTAGCTGAGGCTCTTGTTCTCAGTCTTGGCTGTACCTTAGAATAATATAGGCAACTTTAAACAATATGTATACTGGATTCCACCTCCAGAAATTCAGCAGTAATTAATGGGGGGTGGATAATGATTTGGGGTATTGGAAGGTTTTTTTCAAAGTACCCTCGGCGATTCTAATGTGTAGTCATGAATCGAGGATGGCAGATGACAAACCTACAAAGGGTATTGGGTAACAAGCAAAAGCTGATGAATGACTCTTGAGTCATCTCACACAACCAGGAGGCTACTTAAGCCCTGGAAGATTTCTCCCTACTTGAAGTGTAACTAAATTTCCTATGTAGCTTGTAGAGTAGATCTCGTCGTTTTATGACCATGGCTTTATATATTTGAGTACCATCTCATAAATTGTCTCCTGTCTGCCTGTCTTCATGTTTCTCCAAAAGAAATCTTCACTTAAATGGAGATATGAATAGTATTAAAGCAACTGATTCTCATATTTCTATGAAGCGGCTTGGTATCCATAAAATGCTTTGTTTTTGGACAGGGTCTTTCTCTGTCACCCAGGCTGGAGTGCAGTGGCACAATCATGACTCACTGCAGCCTCAACCTCCTGGGCTCAAGTGATCTTCCCACCTCAGTCTCCCAAGTAGCTCAAAGGACAGGTGCATGCCGCCACATCTGGCTAATTTAATTTAATTTAATTTTTTTTTTTTTTTGTAGAGACAGGATCGTGCTATGTTGCCCACGCTGGTCTTGAACTCCTGGTCTCAAGTGATCCTCCTGACTCAGCCTCCCAAAGTATTGGGATTACAAGCATAAGTCACCATGCCTGGCCCCATAAAATGCTTTTAAGGTTGAACTAGTACAATAATGAGGATATAAGATGTGCCAGGCCTTCAGCCACACTTTGAGAACACAGATAAACAAGCTATCACCTGCATATCACAGTCTGGCAGGAGAGGCAGCTGTGTAATCCTGAATGCAATGTGATATGGGATAAGTGCTGTGATTGAGGCTCAGATGAAGAAAGTGGTGAATCACAGAGGGCCCAGCACCTAAAGCTGCTTCAATCAGGGCAGATATTTATTCTTAGCAAAGAATTCTCCTTTGAAACTGATCCTTGTAAATTTCAAAGCCCTGCTAATACTAGCCCACTTGGGATTCATGCCTGCCTTCTCCACTTGTGGAGACTTAGAGAGAAAGGGAAGGAAATAAAAATTCTGCTCTATTCTACAGGGTTTTCCACATGTTTGCTTTATTCCTCAATGTGCATTAAGTGGTAAAGAACACCTGCGAGATCTGAATTTGGTGACATTTGAAGGGGCACATTCAGCATACCCGAGGATGTACAAGAGAGGAAAGGAGGATGGGATGCAAATGAGTGAGCCGATTCTATTCATGAACCTTCTTGAGATCTCTCTCTGGGTTGAAAAACTGCTAACAGTATGACTTTTAAGCTTTATTTCTTCTTTGCCTCCATTCCTACAGAGCTTTTAGAGAAATTGGTGAAATGGTGATAAACATAATATGTGGAAACCTTCAGCACTGCTCTCTTAGCTATAGCTTTCCTGAGCAGTTTGAAAGACAGAGATTCTAATAATGACAACAAAAGACCCTAATGATTCTCCATGTTTAGTGCCTCCATTCTATTTTCCCCATTGTCTAAGTGGCTGGCATATTTTTAGGTAAGACACAACCAAAGACTCTATTGAGAAAACGACGTAAAATAATGATGGTGAAAAAGCTCCAAACTAGATGAATAAGGTTTATTTTTCTTCCTTGTTTCTCATGGATAAAAAGCATTTACCTGTGTTAGCCAAGTGATAAAAAAAAAAAAAATCTGCCACTAGATAGAAAGAAACAGACTTTTTGGAAGGCATGCTGTCCATATTCTAACTACCATTCTTTTCTACTGGCTGATCTAATAGGACTAAAGAATATAATTTCTCATTCCAATGAACTTGGTTGTCTCAACTGTATCAAAACAGCACAGGTTAAAAAAAAAAATTCATCCTTCAAGTTTCCTGGGAGGAAGCGGATACTTTTCACACTCTCCCACCACATCAGCTTCTGGGCCATACGAACAGAATTTTGGAGTCAGAAGAAAGGAAGGTGGAGGGCATGCCCTCCAGGGACAGTTGTAGTCTCTCTGTAGCCAAGGGCAAATGACTTTCCAACGTTTTAATCATTAAGGGATGATGATCAAGAATACCTAATTTTTGATCTGAGATTAAAATAATCACAATTTGTAGAAGTACTTGGTGTTCACAGCTTCTAACTTATAAGCTCTAGCCCAGTGGGAATGCTGGAACCAAAAGAGTCAAAACTTAGCAGAGTCTCTGGCATCCGTCCTTCTATTTCTGCTTCTCACTAGTGCCGGATAGTTAAGCAAATTTATCTGTCCCAGGTGAGTGTGCTCCAGTGTTCAGGGCCCCTGAGCCAGGCCTTCTACCCACCAGCCCACCAAAGACTCCCAGAGCGGCAGGAAGTGAGAGTACCTAGAATATCGAAGCACGCACCACTCTCCAGCCGGTGCTTCCTGTACAGGTTCTTCAGAACCTTGGCACTGCCAAAGCGCTTGAAGCGGATCTTCACATTATTGTAGAACCATTCCAGAGACTGGGCCCTCAGAAGCCTGAGGAAAACAGAATTTGACAACAGAAAATTAGAATTATCAAATGGTGAATTGCAAAACTGCTACAATGCTTCACAGCTCTATCCATCAAGATGTGAAGTTTATTCCCCTTGAATCTGCGCTGGCCTTGTGACTTTCTCTGACTGTAGAAAATGGTGAAAGTGATGTTGTGTGAATCCTGAGCCCTGCAGTTTCCTCTCTTGCTTCTCTTGGGAATCCCACAATCTTTATCATGTGAGTAAAGCCCAAGCTTTCCTGTTGTGTGATGAGAAACACTTGGCCCAATCATCCCTCTTGCCCCAGCCAGTAGCCAGCTAACTCCCAGACAGGTGAAAGAAGCCATCGGCCAATAGTTTGACTGGAGACAAATGAGTGACCTTAGGTGCGACCAGGAGAACCATCCACTAAGTCACTCCAAAGAGCAAACCAATAAATGCTTGACATTTTAAACCACGAAGTTTCAGGGCATTTAATAGTAGGCTTTATATTTAATATTCTTACTGTATTAACAACATTTCTAATTCATCTTGCAAATATAAAAAGCACAAGGAAGATAGCAAAATTCTCTAGCCTCTTCCTCATTCAGATTGAAGCACTGTGAGAAAGTAGTTTCCTGGTTAATGCTACAATGGTTGGTATAAAACATTGGCAAGATCCAGGCCGGGTGCTGTGGCTCACGCCTGTAATCCCAGCACTTAGGAAGGCCGAGGCAGGTGGATCATTTGAGGTTAGGAGTTTGAGACCAGCCTGGCCAACATGGCAAAACTCCATCTCTACTAAAAATACAAAAACCAGCTGGGTGTGGTTGCACATGCCTGTAATCCCAGCTACCTGGGAGGCTGAGGCAGGAAAATCAGTTGAACCTAGTAGGTGGAGGTTGCAGTGAGCTGAGACAGCATCACAGCACCACTGCACTCCAGCCTAGGTGACAGAGTAAGATTCCATCTGAAAAAAAAAAAAAAAAAGATTCTTCTCTTTTATGCCTGATGAGAACAAATTTCTAAAGCCTTTCCATTTTGAAAACAGCTGTTTTTCTTATTTTTCTTATTATAAATGTAATAATACACACTCATTTTAGAAAATTCAGAAAAGCAACAGGAATATAAAGGCTTCCAATTCAATGGAAGAACAATTCCACATTTAGTGGCTCTTCTTTTCCAGACCCCAGTGAAATGTGAGAAGATATCCAAAGATAAAAAACAATCTATACAAGGAAAGAATTGGGGTGAGAGCAAAATCAGAGATTTTGACAATGATAGCATAAAGGTAACAAAGAACAGTGTCCTTCAGAACAGATGGAAGAGCTTGGACTCTAACTGGAAGGCCCAATTTTGAATTGGTTGATTCAGAGAGAGCCTTAGATTATGACAGTACTCACAAAGGTAATTTAATGGTTGTGTAGACAATAATGAGGTCTCTTGGTCCCCCATCCCTACTCCATAACAAATGGGCAATTGGTCTGAGGATGATTGGTCTTAGGCCCAAAAGATAAAGTGGTTCTCTTTTGAAGTTGAACAATCTACTTTAGATTTAAGACTTCAATATGGAGATTAACACCATACAGTGAAGCTATAGAGTTTGGATATTTGTCCCAGTTGCAAATCTCATGTTAACCTGTGATCCCCAATGCTAGAAGTGGGCCTGGTGGAAGGTGTTTGGGCTTTGGAGGCATATCCCTCATGAATGGATTGCTGCCCTCCCTGTGGTAATGAGTTCTCACTCTATTAGTTCACTCGAGAGCTGGCTGTTGAAAAGAGTGTGACAACTCTCCTTCTCTCTTGCTCCCTCTCTCACCATGTGACACACAGGCCCCCTTGCCTTCTGCTATAAGTAAAATTTCCTGAGGTTTTTACCAGAAGCAGATGCTGGCACCTTCTTGTAATGCCTACAGAACCATGAGCCAAACAAACCTCTTTTCTTTATAAATTACCCTGCCCCAAGTATTCCTTCCTAGCAACATAAATGGACTAATACAGAAGAAGCCTGTCTTGTTTGGCATTGGGGGAGCCCCTACATGCCTGCCCATCAGATGTCATCCATGTATACCAAAGCAAAGCCTGTCAATTGCCTGCTTAACTCAGAAACTTGGAGCTCTTGGTAAGCACCCCCACCTTTCAGCCCTAAACTCTTTCCAAAAGAGAGGTCTATTGGGAATACTTATCTACCCAATGGCAGAGGAGGCCCATGTTGGTTACCTTTATTCACCAAGTCCTTTTTTCAAAAATATGAATAGATGACAAAAAATCACCAGCCATTTGCAACAATCCAGTGGCATAAGAAGAAAGAGCCAAGATAAACTAACAAGTAACAAAGGACAAAAAAAGATAACTCAGGGTACTGAAAGTAATTTAAACTCGAATTAATGTCCATAATGGTTTGAAAAGATACTGCATCTGTGCAACAGGCTAGGGTGATGTGAAATATATGTAGAAGATAAGCAACAACTTATTGGAAATAGAAAACAGGATCAATAGAAAATTTAGTAGAAGATCTAAAAGTTAAAACCAACATAAATTTTCTAGAATGTACAATAAGAAGGCAAAAATATGGAATATACAAGAGAAAACAGACATGGGGGTTCAATTCAGGAGGTCCAGCATCTAACAGAGTTCCAAAAAGGAAGAAAAGAGAAAATGAAAGAGAAGGGGATAAAATCAAAGACATAATAGAAGAAAATTTCCCCAAGCTAAGAAAGGGAAAAGTCTTTAGGTTAAGAGGGCCTACCAATTGCCCAAACAATAAATGGAACATAAAACAAAATAAAGCAGACAAACCTACCTTGCTACATCTTCATGAAAATTCAGATCCTCAAAGATAAGGAGAACTTAGGGACTTCACACAGAAAAAAATAATATTTTGCAAAAGGATAAAAATAATGATGCTAAAATTTGTAGTCAATAACAATGAATGTTAGAAGACAGTAGAGCATAAATTTTCTAAGAATGAATGGCATGAACTTAGACTTCTATGTTCAGCCAATCCATCATCACAAGAGGGCAAAATAAAGACATTTTCAGACATGTAACATTGCTTTCTGGAAAAGAAAATTCTCAAGGTGTATTCCAGGAGAACCAAAAGCCATCCACGAAAGAGGATCTTGGGACTCTAAAAAGAAGGAAACTGTCCCAGGAGTACAATGGAGAGAAGTCCCAGGATTGTGCAGCAGATCTGGAAGGCAGGCAGCCAAAATGGGGCATTCAGTAAGTATATAATTAAGAATCTACATGGATGAAGAGAAATGGTGAAGAAGGAGCCACATCTTTCTTTTGTCAACAAGAATAAGGAAAGGCCATTAGAAGCTTTGGAAAAATCAAAATCGAAACCAAAAAGAGCTCAAGAAAATATGGTCTAACTATGAAGCAATTGAAAAGTTGTATGATTTTGTAAACTAATTGAATGGAAGAAGAAAGATGATGACCCATTTTTCTTCAAGGGGCCCATGTGTTACAGCCAAGAATAAGTTTTTTTTTTTTCTCTCCATGAATTTCAAGTCATGACTTTGGTCTCTAGAAGATAATATTTATATAATTTAGAAACTACTTAGTTTTCACCCTATTTATAGACAAAGCATAAAAGGATCACACTGTCAAGACATTTGCATTTGTTATTGAAAGAAAAATTAAAAATCATTGACAGCCTGATAGAAGCCTGGCTGTAGAGAGAAAGAGGAATGATGAGGGTAGTTCAGAGATGCTAATTTCCCCATCTTGCAGAATGCAGTCAAGACAGACTGTTATGTAAGGTGTAAATACCAAAGATAATGGTTTCGATATGCTAAAGTCATAAAGGTCACCAGCATATAATAAAAGTTTTAATAAAACTTCCAAGGGGAAGGTAAGGAGATAGGAAAAAGTGAACTATTCATAAAAGTCTAAAGTTGACTAATCAATAAATGGCAAGATAAACATATTATTTAGGATTATTGTGGTAGCCCCCAGAAATGTTTAAATGTGATTCCCTGGGGGACTGGGACTTGGCAAGGAGTTGGGGATATGAAATCTTTTTAATATCTTTTACTGGGTGAATTTATTTTAACCAAGTACATGTGTTATTATAAAAACTGAAATAAAAACAAGCAAAAGAAGATTCAGAAAACTACCCCAAGTTCTACTACTGGAACCTGACATTAGATGAGTGTTCTTTCAGACTTCCATGCAAGGTAGTTTATAATCAGCCTACATAGAGATTGGGAGGGGTCCTGGAACTCATGGTGGGGGGTGTGTGTGCATACATGCATGCAAATGTGCATGTGCTCATGTGTATGTATGTGCATGCATGTGTATGTGCATTTGTGTGTGTGTATTCATACAGGCACACAGAGAAGGCAGGGACCAAGAGGTCAGTCTAAAGCTGGTTGGTGCTGAAGGGGCTCCAGGGCCAGAGCAGCTCTGAGAGACCAAATTTTTTCACAGAGAGGACGTGCTCCCTCTTCCCACAAAGTTTAGCAGACAGGGGCTGTGGGGCAGCAGCAGGACAACCACCTGGAGTGGCCAGGAAACAGTGATGGTGGCAGTGGGGAGGTGCCCCTTTTAAATGGTTAGTGACTTCAATGAAGAGAAAAAGCCACAAATGGGTTTTCCTGAGCACATGTGTCTTTCAGTACATACAATGTTCACACTATCTTTTAACAAACATGCTCACACTGGCTTTGATCTTGCTGTTCCCTCTGCCTATAATACAGTTCCCCACAGATAGTCTCAGGCTCAATCCAGCACTTCATTCAGGCCTCTGTGCAAATATCACTTCTCTTGGGAGGCCTTCCCCGACGATCTTTGCAAAAATGCCACTACCATGCCAACATGTCTGTCCTTTTACTCTGATTTTTATTCCTTATATTTTTATAGAATACTTCTTTGTACCTATTTAGTGATATGTAATTGTCTATGATTAAGTAATTATAACAATAATCACTATATCAACATATTGACAATTAATTATTAATTTGTTTGTTATCTATAGGCTCAAGGACATAGTAGGCTCAAGGAAGACAGATTTTTTTC